GAGAAAAATGAAGACGATTGACTGCCGAACTGACTGGGCGGAGAGGCCAAGATAAGGCAACTCGAAAATTTCAGTCCCTCAGACACAGGTAAGGCGGCACGAAAATTATCACTAAAAAATCTCGGCATTCCCGCCTCGGCAAAATTCACACTTGCCAAAGAATGCCTCGCAGCGTAACGCCGCAAAAATAAAACATCAGAGCGGGCCTCGCCGTCTCAACGACGCGAAAGGGGGCCGCACACAACGCACGAGATGATGGGCAGCAGAAGGAACAGAAGGACAAAAAGAAAAATACGTGAACAAAACTGTGCGCGAACCCGTGCTCTCTAAATCGACAAATTCGAAATTCGCTCTGAATGATCCGCTCAAATCTGCGGGGAACTGCTCGAAGACAATGACATTGTCGAATCTACCTGAATATGTCTGCTAGGAACTGCACTGGAATTCAAACTCGCGAGACATGCTTCTGTATACCGTTGAGAACAACAGAACATACGAAACTCTGCGCCGCGATCGGGATGATCAGAGAAAAGATTCCCATCATCAGCGTCTATATCAGCACTGAACGCCTCGAAACATAAAACTGCCAGCACGTGCGAAACGAAATACACACAGAAAAACGAGTCGACTTCTTTTTACTTTTTGCAACACGTAATTCTAAAATACAGCGACTACGAAACCTGAATTTGGAATTATATTGAAATTAATCTACAAATATGTCTCTAAAATTGTACGAATTTGAACATAATCATTATGTAGAGGGACACATGCCATGAAAACAAACAAATGAAAAACCCGGAAACGCGCATAAGAGAACTGAGAAAGAATCTCGACGGGAGACGATAACACCAACACTACGTCTCCTACTACTTCTAATATCGCTTCTGGACTCTCATGTTTACTATAATTATCTTGCTATTACCAATACTATTTCTAATAATAAAGAGAAAGAAAAAAAAAAGGTTAGCAACTTCCGGTAACATAGCTACATCTGCAAACTCGCACAATTCAGTGAGAATCAAATCTAAATACCGCTCCAAATAGGTCCTCGGACAACCTGTTTTAAACCATGAAACGCAAAACCGTGCAGCTTCGGTGCCCTCTGGCATATTACGGATGGAATGTCTAGCCATGACTATTGTGAACGTTAAATCGCCAATGATGAACACTCCAATAGCTTGAGGAATTCACCTTCGAACTCGATAAACACAAATTGAATAGAAAAAACCTGACCGAAACAAAAAAGGCGGTAATATTCGCGAAAAACACGGGATTACAATCGACATGAAACAATAACCAACAACATTCCACATTGGGAAACAAAAAAAAAAAAACAAAAAATGAGACAAACACATATACGAATCTAAACAAAAAAATGCTACGCCGCCACCACTACTGTTTCTGTCTTTCCTAGAAATGCAACAATGCAAACGGGGATTTGAACCACGATCGAATCTTCACTGACGAAAATAAGCCAAACAAAAAGCAAAAAAGAAATGCGAACTTCCAGCTCAGGCTCAGAAAAGACAAAAAAACCTGGATATTCAACCGCAAAATGGTCAAATTCGAAAAGGCGGAACAAAAATTTAACCTGGCTCCTCCTTCAGATAAACCTGCTTGTTTTCATTCGACTTAAATAGAACCAAATCTGTTGAACATTACTCGCATATTTGCGCTCCGAAATTATTGCGCTCGAAAATTTCGGGACCTCCGGATTAAAGCAACTCGAAACACCGAATTAAGCTGATTCGAAAACTCCTGCATTACTCGTCAAAAACGAAGTTAAGCGGTTCGGAAAATCGGATTAAGGCAACTCAGAAAATCTGAATTAAAGCGAAAGCAATTTGTGATCAGAACGGCGCGCAATTGCAACGGCAAATTCATAACCACGACGGCGGTGACAAAACCTACTCTGTAAAACAAATCGAACTCTACCATAGTAGAACCCAAAGACCGCACTTAAGCAGCTAGCCTGCGGGCGGAGTGAAATTTGTAAAGTGCAAAATCCCCCAAGTCTCTACGAAAAACGAAGGTTCTGCACGGGATCAACGAATTCGCCTTCTAAATCCCGAACGTACTGAATGAAACCGATCTTATCAAATTGAAATGATGCGGGTCTTGAAATCCGTTGACAATCTTATTTTTCGCGTTCTGATAGAACTTGATCAATTCCAATGCTTCCGAAACACCAATTCCTCTGTAAGAATACATTGAACACTAAATAGAAACAAATACTAAATTTTTCATTTATATATATATAGGAAATACCGTGTTTTGATTGAACCTACAAACATTTTTTTTTTAATAGACGGAACACGCACGGTCTACATTAAAATACTTTAAAATGTGTGGAAATATGTATTTTCCTTAATAAACTTTAATACTCGCACATAAACCCATTTCTGCGAGGTAACAGACGGGGTCTGTGTGATGCAACCAATTTTCATCGTTTTTTTTTTTTTTTTTTTTTTTTTTTTGCATGTATCTCTAAAATATCGCGACTAAGAAACTTCAATGTCGAATCATCTTGAACTTGCTCTAAAAATATATCTCTAAAATTGTATTACAATTGAACATATTATAATGTAGAGGAACACACACACCATAAAACAAACAAACAATAAACCCGGAACGCGCATAAAAAACAACTAAGAAAGAATGTCGAGGGAACTGATGACACCAAACTATTACGTGTCTTATGACTTCTAATATGCGTCTGCGACTCTTACTTTTACTTCCAATTGTCTTGCTATTACGAATACTATTACTAATAATACTATAACGCGTTGTATGCCTGTGGCTTTACAATATTTACTCCCACGCACTTACTTCTTATACGTTAGAATTCTTACTATTTGTCAAGGTAACAACACTAATTAATTTACAAATTAATACTTTTTGTTTCGTTAGACAACAAACAGAATAACCTCAGACATTCATATTCTTTTTTTTCGAAACAAAACGAATTATCAGATGGATTCGCTTATCAATGAGAAATATTACCGTGAATTATTCTTTTGTAATTCGTGTTGTCGTATATATATATACTATTACTAATAATACTATAACGCGTTGTATGCCTGTGGCTTTACAATATTTACTCCCACGCACTTACTTCTTATACGTTAGAATTCTTACTATTTGTCAAGGTAACAACACTAATTAATTTACAAATTAATACTTTTTGTTTCGTTAGACAACAAACAGAATAACCTCAGACATTCATATTCTTTTTTTTCGAAACAAAACGAATTATCAGATGGATTCGCTTATCAATGAGAAATATTACCGTGAATTATTCTTTTGTAATTCGTGTTGTCGTATATATATATATATATATATCTATATATATATATATATATGTGTG